CCCACTTTTTGTTCAATTATTGCTTTTAGAATTGAAACGGAATGAGTCGATAACTCAATTATATATGATAATGAAAGCAGCACGATCCAAAACATACACGGGACTTGGACATGTTAGACAGCTATTCTTTTGTCAAATCTGTTTGAAAATAATATCTAAATTTAAATAAAGAAAATTGTCTTGTATACTTTTCAAATAAAGCAATTTAACGTTATATCTTAAAATGGAGATATAAATTTAAGCCATGTTTGGTTTAATTAAATAAATTGATAAAAATTTAAATCAAAGTCAACAAATTATTTTAATTACGTATTTCATGGAATTCACAGCTTTCATTAAAAAATTTTGAAAATTTGAATTTTAACAAAAACAAACAGTGAATAAATCTCGTCCTCACTTCATAAAAACTGTACACGTGCGACTCACAATTAAATAAAATAATAACTTAAGCGATCATTTATAATAAAGCAATTGAAAAGTAGACAAGTAGTTCTTGAAAGAGTTATTGATGTTCCCACAAAGAACGTCGGTAAAATAAAGCCAAAATCATGACATTATCAAAGCTATCTCTCGCCATGTTTCTTATCAGTTCAAAATTTACACTTGCACTTTAATTAAAAAAAAAAAAAAAAGGATGACCCCAACCTTGAGGGCTCCTACCATTCTGCCTCTATACTTTTGTGAGGGAGATAAATCACAGAATGTGCTCCAACAGGTCAAGAAATAAGAACCGCTTGTACACTGCGCCTACAAGGAGTTAAATTCCATGTTTCAAGAATCGAACCCCCACACTACGACTGCCAGCAAGACGTTAGATAATATCACTCCGGTCCTTTGCACCATTAGACTATGCCCTGAGGACCTTGCACTTTAATTTTTATCATGACTAGTGTGATCGGCCTATTTAATTACTCTAATTAAGGGTAGAAAAGGTAATAAATGTAGTGGATCTCATCATATATTAATTAAAATTAAAATTAAAATTTGACAGTCGAAAGTTGATAAAAGTTTAACAATATTTTATCGAACAAAGGCTTAGTGTGCCATGTTGGTAAATAAAAACATCAAATCAGCATACACAATACACTTCAGATTCACATTGAAATGATTTGCATCGATCCATATAATTCTGCTTCTCTGTAGCGCAAATAAAAGATAGAAAATGGCAACAGTTCTCACATACGAACCGTAACCATATATTATACTATTCTTGTTGAATTGCTTGCTCTCTGAACTTCTTATATATATCACTTCCATAAAATTTTCTCGTCCTAATCACCAAAATGACTGAAATTACACATGCTACCAGTGTCGCGGCCATTATTATTAGAAAAGCGAGTTTGTAACACTCCACGCCGATGCATGTCAAGTCTTGCCCTTCTTTCCTAACGAGTCCTTTAGCTGCCATTTGCTTCATAGCCTCTTTATCATATAAATAACCAGTTATTCTAACATTCAAGATATAAGCCCCAACTGGGCTGGCTCCACCCCCTAGAGTGTGCAATGTAGAGTAGTATTTGAGCCCAAACAATTCTGATATGATTGCAAAAATCAATGGCCATTGGGCTCCGAAACAGAATCCCATAATCACAGAGGATAAATATAGAGAATTTGGGACACCAAATGCGATAAGAAGATGACCAGTGCAAGAGAGGAGAAGTACTAATGTGAGCATTAAGGGACGTGGGAATTTGTACTTTTCCAAGAAAATTTCTGAGGCAAAACCGGAGGCTACTCTTCCCAGATAATTCCATATGCTTACTAGTGACACAAATGTGGTTATGCTTTTACTTGGATAACCTAAGGACTTACCGATTTGGCCTAGATTATCAATTGCTGTCAAGGTACCTCCAACTCCGAATGTCGTTACAGTAAATAGAATTATCATATCCATGCTGAAAATTGCTTGCGATATGTTGTAATCCTCGCCTCTTTCTGGTGGCTTGAAAGGGTTGCTCCACCACGAATCTGCCGGCTTTTGGTGCTTTACTTGATCACCGGTCGTTGGCTGAAGTTCTTCAACTGGTGGCGGATTTGGCAGTTGAGAAACAACTTTCAGTTGAATGGAATCTTTTGACTCTTGTCTCTTGCTCTTCCAGATGTTGAATTCTTCTTTGATGATAACAAACAGTTGAGAAAACAATAAAATCAGCACAAAACTGGCACTTCCTGCATACGCAACTCTAGGAAAGTAAAGTCTGTTTTGTAAGATAATCAGAATCATGAGGAAACCGGCAAGACTTAGCGATACATAGAGTAGACGATAAAAGATTTTGAACTCATTTTCTTGCCGGACAATCTTCATGAGTCTAACTGTTCGGAGAAAAACACAAGAAACAGCCGCCGGAAGCCACCCAATAAGTAAAATAAGAGACTTGGAATCATGTCCATAAAAAGCATGGAATAACTGTGTAATAATTGCACCACTTAGGCCAACAAATCCCTTGAGAAGGCCTATGACTATTCCTCGACTCTCCGGGAAATTCTTAACACAAGTAACCATTGCCCCAGTATTGGCAAATGTTTGTGAATTTGCACCAATACATATATATAGACACATCTGCCACACATGGGGTTTGGCCGTCCGGCCAGTGATGGCCAACCATATCATGAAGTAGCCGAAAAAGTTCATGATTACACCAAATGAAAGAACAACCCAAGGTGGTGAAATTTCATTGATAAGCCCAGCCATGATTCCTATATTTCCGCCGAGGTCTTTGAAGAATCCTATGAGATTTAAGGTTGTCTGGTCATATCCTAGGGATGATTTGATGTCGCCGGAGTAGAGTCCGAACATATAAGTTGCACCAGACATGGACATGATTAAGAGGGAGGCAAAAATCATGAACCACCGGCCGGTGAGCACTTGGCAGGTAAAGCTTCTCATGGCCCTCCAACCACCGCCTCTACAACTGAGTTCACCGGCAGCCATGCTGTGTTTTGTTTTTCTTGATACTTCTTCCGAAGAAATACACGGACACTGTGTTAGAACTGGATGTCCTAATGTCCTATGTAACGATTGGAGCTGTGAATCCGTGACCCATTGAAGAGCAGTATGGGATGCTCAGTCAAAATAAATATCTGAGTCTAGATGTTACCGTACTCCCATTTTGGATTTGTTCGGAGGATTTCTTGAAAGGAAAAAAAATGATTTTTTATGAGATTGAGTGAATAAAAAGTGAGAAAAAGTTTGCTGTCGATTAAACTTTTGCCAATTTTGCTGTCTCATCCATTGCCCCCTAATCAAAATTTTATCTATAGCTTGTTTGACACAAATTAATTTTATAGTTTGTTGCATAACCATTTTCATCCATACATTTACGTAATAAAATATTATACATGCATACTGAAACTTATTTTTACTTTTTAGGGGCTATTTGGTCCCCATTAATTTTGCACAATAATGAATTCTTGGACCATTACTAATTATTTGTCTGCCAACTCACATGATTTACTCATAGACCAAGACTTATTCTTTTCCAAAATTTGTCCTTGCCGATTGACTTTCCATCCCAAAGCCAGTCAGCCGAAAGACCATGGTAAAATTGGAATGGAAAATGCCTAATGCACAGGGCCTGTACAGGCCTCCTCACATGCTGTGTGAGGAGGTGAAAGGGTGGGGGATTATTTAAAAAAAAAATTACCCACCCCTTTGTAATGTGTCTGGCCTGTACAGGTCCTGTGAACACAGGGACAGGGCCTGTACAGCCAGCGTGTTTCAATTGGAATTTAATGCTTTTGAAGTCAAATTAAAACATATAACAATGCGTAGGTCCTACATTGATGTGATGGGAAAATG